TTTTTAGTAGAGACGGGGTCTTACTCTTGCTCAGGGCTCAGGCTGGTCTCGAACTCCTGAGCTCAAGCGATCCTCCTGCCTTAGCCTCCCAGAGTGCTAGGATTGCAGGTGTGAGCCACCACGCCTGGCCTATTTTATTTTATTTTTTTTTTGAGACAGAGTCTCACTCTGTTTTATTTTTTAAAAGTGGTTCTGAGAGTCTCTATTAATGTGGCATGGCCTGTTTCTATGCCTTGTTTCTATGGGGTTTCCCTTAGCTCTGAGGAGACAGGCCCTCTCTGGCTCATTCTCCCTGGCTTCTCTACTTGAGCCAAAGAGAACCCTTCTCAGCTCTTCCCCTTGCAGCCTGATCCAGTACTGCACTTGGTACATGTAGCTCCCTCTCAAAGCATTGTGATGTAGATTCAATAATCGTTGCTAGGATGATGGTCTTAAATTGTTGCTCTGTGTCATTTAGTCCTACTTTATTGCCTCTTTACATCAACAGTACAGTTTACAGTAATGCAAATTTCTTTTTAATAACCTTCTAGCTTTAGCCCTAGAAATTATGTAGATGTTGTTTTGACAGTGCTTATGTGATATCGGGCACAGCATAACTGTATAATTTCATGCTCAGTATTGATGGGAAATTTATTTGAACTCACTGATAAAATGAATTTTAAAAATTCAATGACTTCATGACTTGTTTGCTCATTTTTTTTTTTCTTCCGTAAAACAGGAAATGGAGCAGACTAGAAGTGCTGTCGACGAGGACCGGAAAATGTATCTCCAAGCTGCTATAGTTCGTATCATGAAAGCACGAAAAGTGCTTCGGCACAATGCCCTTATTCAAGAGGTAAAAGAGGGAAAGTCCTCAAGATTTGTCAGAGTAGAGGGCGTTATCAGTGTGTGGGTGCAGTCTCTGTCTTCTTAGAGGTAATATAGAAATGATACGTTCCCCAAATAGCATAAAGAAATGTTTGTTACTTAATGAGAACAGTACTCAATTTCAGTATTAAATTCAGATTTACATCGGCTTGAATTTAATTAAAACTTACCAGTTTATTGAATCTTCTGTTCAGTTATTAAAGGAAGTTGATCACATCAAATATTCATTCATCCCATGAATATCTGACTGGCTCCCCATGGTGGAGTGCTGGGCTGGTTGCTTGTGAGTTCCCAGTCCAATGGGAAGAAATACCTGTGTTCTGCCTTTTAATCCCTTCACAATTTAAATATTAAACCTCCTCCTTACTTAACATAAAAAATTCTTTTTAGCCATCATGTCAAAATTGATAGGTCTTATTGCTCCCTCTCTGTGAACACTCTCTTGGTCGTCTTAAAAATTTTAAGTATCTTTTTCCTATTGCATTAGGTCTGTTGAAACCTCAGGAAATTTGAGGCACTTTACAGCCGATTGGTTAGAAGCGATTTTTTTTTTCTTTTTAAGACAAGGTCTTGCTGTGTTGTCCAGGCTGGAGCGCAGTGGCGTCATCATAGCTCACTGCAACCTCAAATTCCTAGGCTCAAGCGATCGTCCTGCCTCATCCTCCTGAGTAGCTGGGAGTATAGGTGTGCGCCACCATGCTGGCTAATTTTTTTATTTTTTGTTGCAATGGGGTCTTCCTGTTGCCCAGGCTGGTCTTGAACTTCTGGCCTCGAGCAATCCTCCCACCCCAGCTTCCCACAGTGCTAGGATTATACTGGGCCAGGCTAATAGTAATTATTTATAGCTGATGACCTGGCAGTAGTTAACTTCCATGTCTGTCTTACCCAGGTGATTAGCCAGTCAAGAGCGAGGTTTAATCCCAGCATCAGCATGATCAAGAAGTGTATTGAAGTTCTGATAGACAAACAGTACATCGAACGCAGCCAAGCGTCGGCAGATGAATACAGCTACGTCGCGTGACGTCACTCTCCTCCAGCGCGGGTGTGAGACGATCATCGCCATCACCACTTGGTGTGTTCCTGTGGGAAGAAGCAGGCCTGTGCCTCCATAATTTGGTCATTTGGCAGCCCCCGTTTTTCTGCTGTTTACAACATCACCAGTGCCACGTCATGAGCGTCAAAGAAAATGCCTAGAGATATTTCAAGCTCATGTCATTGTGACATTTCTTAAAACTTTATTAAAAGAGTGAGTGAAGTATTGC